CCATTCACTTATGTAGTTATTTATTAACTGTATAATTTCTTTTTTTGTACCAGTCCTGGGGTTTGAACTCAGGACCTGGGCACTATCCCTGAGCTTTTTGTTTGGTCTGGCACTCTCTTACTCGGGCCACAGATCTAGCTTTTCGGTGGTTACTTGGAGGTAAGAGGCTCGTGGACTTTCCTGCCGGGGCTGGTTTTGAACTGTGATCTTCAGATCTCAGCCTCCTGAGTAGCTAGTATGACAGGTGTGAGCCACCAGTATCTGACGTTGGGTGTACTTTTATATCAATACCAAGCGGTTTTTGTTGTTATGATTCTGTGCCATAATTTGAAGTCTGGTATTGTGATACTTCTAGTCCTTTTTACTAAGAACTGTTTTGCTCTTTGGGGTTTTTCATACCTCCATATGAATTTTTAGATTGATTTTCTAGTCCTGTGAGGAATGATGCTGCAATGTTGGTGGGTATTGAACTGAATCTGTAGAAGGCTTTTGTCAAAAGCGGCCATTTCATATTAATTCTGCCAACCCATGTTTACGAGAGGTCTTTCCACCTTCTGGTGTCTTCTTCCCTTACACAGAAATTTGATCACAAGATACAGAGAAGCCACTTTTGTTGTTGTCACTCCTGGGATTTGAATTCAGGGCCTGGGCTCTGTCCCTGAACCTCTCTGTGCCCAGGGCTAGCACTCTACCACTTGAGCCACAGCTCCACTTTTGGCTTTTTCTGTGTATGTGGTACTGAGGAATTGAACCCAGGGCTTCATGCATGCCAGGCAAGCACTCTACCACTAAGCTATATGCCCAGCCCAAGAAGCCACATTTTGAGAGATGGAATTGGGAGCCTTTCTTAGAAAGCTGGGGACTGCAAGCAGACACGTGCCCCCCAGAAAACTTGCAGCCCCAAATATACTTAATACTGTTAGGAAACTGAGCCATGAGGGTAGTAAAAAAAAGGCAGAAAAACAATCTCAACAAACCAGATCAACTCTAATGGAGAATTGAAGAGGGACGCCATGGTCAGGAGACACAAGGCATGGCACAAAATGGTGACAGAGGTGGTCCGGGCCTAAACAGGGTCCTGGTGGGGGGTGGAGGGAAGGTCATTGGGATCTCTTGGGTATGCAAAGCCTCTTGAGAGTTCAAGGTACAAGTCTGGCAGGTCCAATACCCTATTGTCCAAGTCCCCGCCCTTGCCTCTTGGAATTCAGGCTTGCCTCTTGGAATTCCCCTATTGCCTGGGGGACATCACCTCTAAGAGTTATTGGAAATTGCCTATCATTGCCACATTGCCAAGATGGTACCAGTGTACATATTTCACTGCAATTTCTTCAAGGTGTGTGTGTGTGTGTGTGTGTGTTGATTTTGGTGTTTGAACTCGGGGCCTGGGTGCTGTCCTTAAGCCTCTTTGCTCAAGGCTAGTACCCTACCACTTGAGCCACAGTTCCACTTAGAGCTTTATTGGTAATTAATTAGAAATAAGTCTCATGGGACATTTCTGCCTGGGCTGGCTTTGAACCATGATCCTCAGATCTCAGCCTCCTGAGTAGTTAGGATTACAGGTGTGAGCCACCAGTGCCTGGTAAGCTACTGAGTTTTGAGGCTTCATTTTATATTTTGCTATGTTTCTGTTTCTGTTTTTTTTTTTTTTGGCCAGGGCTGGAACTCAAAGCCTGGGTCCTGTCCCTGAGCTTTTTTGTTCAAGGCTAGCACTCTGCCACTTGAGTCACAGCTCCACTTCTGGCCTTTCCTGTGTATGTGGTACTGAGGAATCGAATCCGGAACTTCATGCATGCGAGGCAAGCACTCTACCACAAGCCATATTTGCAGCTCCCCCCTTCTCCCTTTTGTTTTTTCAGTCATGAGGCCTGAACTCTGGGCCTGGGCGCTGTCCCTCAGCTCTTCAGCTCAAGGCTAGTGCCCTACCACTTGAACCACAGCGCCTCTTCCAGCTTTTTCTGTTTATGTGGTGCTGAGGCATCAAACCCAGGGCCTCATGCATGCAAGGCAAGCACTCTACCCCTGAGCCACCTTCCCAGCCATCATCGCCCCCTTTTTTATTTAACTTCCTAAGAGGCCGTAACCAGAGAAATATAATACCAAAGGCATGTTCAAACATCTTTTTTCCCTCTCTGTGAGCCCTGGTGTTTGGGTTTTTACTTAGTCTTTTTGACAAGTTTGATTATTGGGGTTGACCCCAATGAAACAGCAAGATTGAGTTTCTGCACTGAAGTGCTAACAATTGAGGTACTCCGAACTGTAATTGAGGGTTTATATTATGTATTTTATATATGTTATATAATTGAAAAACAAATACATCCTCCTGGGAGGTTGTTATTAAAAATGAAGTTGCACAATACATGTAAGATTGCTTATAAATGAGGAAATAGAGGTTAGGCGATTTGCATAAGATCATCCAAGACTCAGAGGCTGACTGGGGGTCAGGGGGAAGGCGGGGGCAGATACAGACTCATTCATGCCCACTCTCTTGAGTTTCCAGCCTCTAAAGCCCAGTGCCCCGTGAAACTTGAAACCTAAGTGTACTTGACTGTGCGGATTGGTTGGAAAAAAAAATATGGATTTCTTATCCCTTCCAATGAGCTACCCACTCATCTATCCATCTACTCACCCACTCATCCATCCATCCATCCACCCACCCACCCACCAGTCACAAGCCTTCAAGTATCCATCCAATCTACCCTTTAGTTAGCTACAGAAGCCACGTGGCTATTCATGACATAATAAATATTGATTGCCTAGGTTAGGTGCATGGCTCAAGTGTTAAGAGTATTTGTTTAGCAAATACAAAGCCTTGAGTTCAAATCCTAGTGCGACATAAATGTCAGGGTCTTCTCTGTGCCATGACTGTAAAAGTGACTAGGATATGAAAGCAAATGGAAAAGTCACATTCTCCACTCGATTTAAAGTCCCATAACGGTAGACTCCTCCCCCCCCCCCCCCAACTGTTTTTTCCCCCTGAAATAGGAATTTGCTACTGTGGTCTTGAATTTCCAATCCTCCCATCTTAGCTTCCCAAGTATTGGGATTATAGGCATGGAGAGTCACACCTGGCTTCCTTTTGCAGTCTTGCATCTATTGAACATAGCACGTAGTTCATTTTCTGTTTTTCTTTCTAACCTCATCTGACCTGCTCGCTTTGCTCATTCCTCTTCAACCACGCAGGTCTTTCTCCTCTTTAATTGTTTTCTTTCTTCTTCCCTTTCTTAAACCCTCTTTTTCCTGGAACTTTAAGAAGTTGCTGTTTGTTCTTTTTGACCCAATTGTTTATCAGCCATAACAATAGCTGGCTTCTTTTCCTAGCCATCTTAGATAAAAGTGTTCCGACTTCCAGAGTCCTTTTCTGGCAAGGTTATCTAAAGGCTATACCCCTGAGCAACTTCTTAGTCACTTTGCCCTGCCCCATTTCTCTTATGGGACCACTCTCAATCTGTCATCTTCTTGTCTATGTATTGTTTGAAACTAGAGATTATGGGAAAATCTCTGGCCCTGAGTGAGCTGATCTCAGTCCCTTCATGTCCTTCTGTTCTAGGTAAGGTCTGGAACCTTCTTCACTGGCAGCCCCTATTGGACTTTCCCTATTGGACACTTGATGTAAAATAAGTAGAGCACCTGGTCATATTTGCGTTTTGCCATTTTCGGTCTTTTTCACAGGCAGAAATTCTGATGATGCAATTCATTCGCTCATCTTGTATAAGCTTCATCAGTGCCACAGAGGTGGATTTCATTGTGATATTTCCACACGTTTACAGTGTATACCAATCAACCTCACTGTCCACCACTTCCATTGTCAGCTGATTGGCCTTGGCAGCCTTTTTTTTTTTTGGCGCCTCAAGCTTTCAGGTCAAATGGGTCTCACCAGGCGCTGGTGCCTAGGCTACTTGGGATCTGAGGACTGAGGTTCAAAGCCAGTCCTGTTAGTCCATGAAGGAGCCTCTTATCTCCAACCACTGAAAACCAGAAGTGGCACTGTGGCTCGAAGTGGTGGAGCGCTCGCCTTGAGCAGAAGCCGCTCAGGGTCAGCGTGTCCAGGCCCAGAGTTCAAGCCCCAGGACCGACCCTCCCCCCCCCCCCAAAAAAAAGTCTCAGAGCCCTTCCTGCCCGGGCTGGCTTTGAACCGCGATCGTGAGAGCTCAGCCTCCCGAGCAGCTAGGACGACAGGCGTGTGATCTCTGACTCTTTTCTACTTTTTTCCCCCCTTCTTCCTTGAAATCAGTAAGTTCCTCGAAAGTGGAGATTAGTCCTTTGTTCCTAAAAAGTGGAGAGAGTCGGGCGCGGGGCGGCTGCGCGCGGCCGGGGTCTGGGGCACCTTTCCGTTCCCAGCGCCCGGCCGACCACGGAGCTGGCGCGTCTGCAGAACTGTCTCCAAACTTTGTCTCTCCCCGAAGAAGCCCGTCGTGCCCACACTCGGCCGCGAGCAGGTCCGCGCCTAGAAATAACATTTATTCTAAGGTTCTCTGCGCGGGGGTTCTTGGGAAGCGGTTCCCCCGGCTGCCTTCTCCCGTTACTCCTCCCTTCGGTCGTCTTTGAAAGAACTGGTGCCACACGTGATTTCTCCTTTTCTCCCACTTCCGAAGACAAGGCTGATAATAGGCAGGGGCGTCAGCCAGCCAGTGAACCCCTTCTCCCCTTGCAGCCAATAGCAAGAGGCAACAAGTACACCGCCCCGCCTTTTGCGGCTCTCCCCGCCCCCTCTGAGCCCGCCCCCTCAAGTCCGCCTCTCGGAGACGGCAGTTGACAACTCAGCTGGCCAATGAGAAGTTTCTACTCTACAGGAGAGGGCTGGACGGTTCGGATGACGGACGTTCCAGACTGACCAGTAGAAGAGCGCCGGTGCGGGAGGGGTGTAGAACGGAGCCAATGGCGCGGTGCCAATAACGAGCATCAGGGAGAGGGCGGGACTAAACTGTTAGCGGGAGGGAGGGGAAGGCCTCAGGGAACCGAGCAGCGCTGCCGCCGCCGCCGCCACCGCCACCGCCGCCACCGCCGCTGCCGCCGCCGCTGCCGCCGCCGCCCGAGTGGAAGGAGGGTAAAGCCAGGAAGAAAATGGCGGCCGTGGCTGCAGAGGCGGCAGCGACCGCGGCGTCCCCGGGGGAGGGGGGCGCCGGCGAGGCCGAGCCGGAGCTGGAGCCCATCCCCGGCAGCGAGGCCGGCACGGACCCCCTCCCGGTCACGGCCCCCGAGGCGGCGGTGCCCGCGGGCGAGGCCGACGGCCGTCCGTCCGCGCCTCAGGCCGACGCGCAGCCGCCGCCGCCGCCGCCGGGGCAGCCGGCCCGCAGCCCGGAGGCGGCGGGGCCGGAGCTGGAGGCGGAGGAGAAGCCGCCGGCTCGGGCGGCGGCGGCGGAGGAGGCGGCGGCGGGGGCCGGCGCGCCGCCGGAAGGGCCGGGCCTCCTCCCCTCGCGGTCCCCGGCGCCGCCGCCGGCCCGCGACGAGCGTGAGGAGACGCCGCGGCCGCCGCCGCCGCCGCCGCCGCCCGGCGTCCCCGGCGTCCCCGCGCTCGTGCCGCCGGCGGGCGGGGGCGGCGCCGTGGCGCAGCTGATCCCGGGCGCCGAGGTGCGGGTCACGCTGGACCACATCATCGAGGACGCGCTCGTCGTGTCGTTCCGCCGCGGGGACAAGCTCTTCTCCGGGGTCCTCATGGACCTGTCCAAAAGGTACGGCCCGCCGGGGCGCGCGGGGCGCGGGGCGCGGGGCGCGGGGCGCGGACGCCGCCCCGTGCGGAACGCGCCGGGGTGGGGGGGGGGTGAGAGCTGGGGGGTCCGTGTGTCCTCGGAGGAACCTGCAAGCGGAGCGGGGTGGGGGGTTCCCCAAGAGATTACCTGCCACTTCCTGAACCCCGGGAACTCATTCCCTGCGGGGCGGTGGGGGGGGGGGCGGCGCAACCCCACCGGGAAGGCCTCGGGGTCAGGCGGCGGCGCGTTTCTTCTCGATCTTTCTCCCTCGGTGCGTTGGGACGGACCCTAGACCTTGAGATGAGGTTGTGTCTCTTTAGGCCTTCGCTGTGGGAGAAAGGGGGGGGCCGGGCCTGGCGAGCCCTAAACTCTTGGATGCAAGTTTCCACTCGGGGGTTGACTTACCAGGACGTTCGCCTCTCGAGGGCCTCGCGGCCCCTACTTCGAATCTTCCGAGTTAACGTTAAAGGTTGTGGACCGGCCCCGCGGACGAAACAGAACCAAACAGTAAAAGAGGATCTTGTTAGCCATCCCGAGGGTTGAGTTAACCTTTCCATTCTCTTTTGCAGATAGGAAGTGCAGAGACTCGCATTCACGGCTCTCCCTTCTGTGGGGCGCACACGGCCCGTGTCTCTCACCTGCGGGGAAATGGCTCTTGCCATTTTAGTGTGTGTCGCGCATGCCACTCCAGGCCCTCCCATCCGGACGGCAGGTGGTGGCGGCCTTTTCCACGTGGGAAAACCTGTGGGGCGGGTGGAACCCCTCTGAAAATTCATCCTCTAGTTTGGTGGGAGAGGGAAAGGAAAGGGAGTGTTTCCAACTGGAGAGGTGAGGTGTGTGTGTGTGTGTGTGTGTGTGTGTGTGTGTGTGTGTGTGTGTGTGTGTGTGTGTGTGTGTGTGTGTGTGTGTTCACAGGTCAGACGTGGGGCTTGAAATCCTTAGGTTTTTCCTTTTATTTTTTTCTGGGGCTTGAACTCAGCCAGTGCCGTGTTCCTGAGCCTAGAGTGCTAGCTCAAGGCTAGCACTCTACCACCTGAGCCATGGCACCACTCTCTGGCTTTTTCCAAGTACTTTATTGGAGATAGTTTCTCAGACTTTTCTACTTGGCTGGCTTTGAACTGTGATCCTAAGATCTCAGCCTCCTGAGTAGCTCCTGAGTAGTAGGATTATAGGAGTGAGCCAGTGGTGCCCAGCTCCATTAGTTTTTTTTTGCCAGTTGTGGAGCTTGAACTGAGGGCCTAGGCTCTGTCCCTGAGCTGCTTTTGCTCACAGCAAGCGCTCTTGAGCCACAGGGTCACTTTGGCTTTTTATGTGTATGTGGTAATGAGCAATCGAACTCAGGGCTTCATGCATGTAAGGCGAGCACTCTACCACTAAGCCACATTCTCAGCCTCCTTAGAAGCTAGAATTACAGGTGTGAGCCACCTGTGCCAGCCTTAATCTTGAAGTTCTTTGTTGCTGTTGTTGGGTCTTGATCTTAGTACCTGGACACTTCTTTTTCAAGGCTAGCACTTGAGACACAACACCACTTCTGGCTTTCTCTGTTTATGTGGTGCTGAGGAATGGAACCCAGGGCTTCATGCATGCTAGGCAAACCCTATACCACTAAGCCACATTCCCAGCCAATCTTGAAGTGCTTCAAGTAACTTCAGGCTAGTTTTTTTGTTTTTTTTTTTGGTCCAGTAGTGGGGCCTGAACTCTGGGCCTGGGCGCTGTTCCTCAGCCCTCCAGCTCAAGGCTAGCACTCTACCACTTGAGCCACAGCACCACTTCTGGCTTTTTTTTTCTGCTTATGTGGTGCTGAGGAATCGAACCAAGGGCCTCATGCATGCAAGGCAAGCACTCTACCACTGAGCCACCTTCCCAGCCCAAGGCTAGTTTTTTTTGCATGTTTGTTTTCACAGTGAGAAAGCAGAATAAGACAAGTGTGCTTTCTAATGGATTTTATGTGAGTGAGAGGTGGGTGTGGGTGTGGGTGTGTGCCAGTGCCAGTCCTGGGGCTTGAATTCAGGGTCTGGGTGCTGGTTCCTCAGCCCTCCAGCTCAAGGCTAGCACTCTAGTGCTTGAGCCACAGCCTACTTCCAGCTTTTTTGGTAGTTTATTGGAGACTCAGAAAGAGTCTCTTTGTGCTCTGGCTGGCTTTGAGCTGTGATCTTCAGATCTGAACCTCCTGTGTAGCTCTAGGATTACAGGTGTGAGACACTGGCACCTGGCTAATAAAAGCAGGTTTAATAGTGAGAGAGACACTAGTGTGTATGCTATTGAAACAAACAGAAGAGGAGGCCAGTGACTGTGAGAATCTGGATTTCAAATCTGCAAAAGAAGGGTGCTGCCAGGTAAGTTGTTGTGGAAATGGAGTGTATAAGTGCTCTCTTTCTTGGAGACACTCACTTTTTGTTGTTGTTATTGGTCGTGGGGCTTGAACTCTGGGCCTGGGCTGGGCACTGTCCTTCAGCTCTTCAGCTCAAGGTTAGTGCTCTGCCACTTGAGCCACAGCACCACTTCCAGTTTTCTGGTGGTTCATTGGAGATGAGAGTCTCATGGACTTTCTTGCCCAGGCTGGCTTTGTACTGCGATCCTCAGATCTCAGCCTCCTGAGTAGCTAGGATTACAGGTGTGAGCCATGGGTGCCCGGCTTTTTTTCCCTCCCCCGTGGATACCTGGGATTTGAACTCAGCCTTGCACTTGCCAGGTAGGTGCCACTTGAGCTATGCCTCCAGCCTTCTTAGTCTTTTTTTTTTTTTTAATTCTTTGGTAGAGAATTGGGATTTTGAATTTTGATTTTTGGTCTGTTTTGCTAACACGTATTTCTTGTAAACTGATTTCTTTTGTGGGAGGAGTTTTCTTTTTCTTTTTTTTTTGGCTAGTTCTGAACCTGGATCTCAGGGCACTGTCCCTGAGCTTTTTGCTCAAGGCTAGTACTGTACCACTTAAGCCACAGTGCCGCTTCCAGCTTTTTCTGTATATGTGGTACTGAGGAATCGAATCCAGGGCCTCATGCATGCAAGATGAGCACTCTACCACTGAGCCACATTCCCAGCCCTTTCTGGTTCTTTTTTAAAGAGATCAGGGCTCCTTAGGTTTCCCAGGTTGACACGAAGCCATTACCTTGTCTCTCCTACCTCAGCCTCCTGAGTAGCTGAGGTTGCAGTTGTCTGCTTCGGAACTGTATCTCCAGCCCCACAACATACTTATCATAGACTGTACCAGGCTAAGACTCCACTCCACACTAGCCATCAGGCACTGGAAAAATAATTTCTCTCCTGTTTGAATTGGCCATTGAATTATTCCTCTAGGTAAAAATAACAAAAGTTTCCTATTGGGTGCTTATTTTGTGCCAGACATTGTACCACATGCATTAGTCTTTATAACTGGTGGTAGTTTTCATTGATACAGCAGGAAATTGAAGTTTATTTAATTTACCAGTTAATGTAAGGATTCAAACAAGTTTATTAGATCCTCAAACTTACACTTTTTCTTCAGTCATATTAAAGTTGAGCTAGAGGGTTTGTTGTTTTTTTTTTTGGTCAGTTGTGGGGCCTGAATTTGGGGCTTGGGCACTGTCCCTCAGCTCTTCAGCTCAAGGCTAGTGCTCTACCACTTGAGCCACAGTGCCACTTCTGGCTTTTTCTGCTTATGTGGTGCTGAGGAATCGAACCCAGGGCCTCGAGCATGCAAGGCAAGCGCTCTACCTCTGAGCCACCTTCCCAGTTAGAGAGTTTCCTTGCAAGCAAAAAGAATTGTGTATTTCTAAGACTTAGTGCCACTTTCAACTTTAGTGGCCATATGGGATAATACACAGAGTCTTGAGTTTTGTAGTAGATCTTTTTTTTTTTTTAATTTGTGATACTGGGGTTTGAGTTAGAGTGCTAGGCTGGTGCTGGGTCATTTGAGCCATGCCTCCCTCTGGATTTTTGCTGGATTCTAGAGATAAGAGTTTTAAGGACTCAAGTCCCTGGGCTGGCCTTGAACTAGACTCTACCTGAGAAGATAGGATTGAAGGTGTGAGCCAGCAGTGTTCAGCCCAAACATTGCTTTAGTTAAGTTCATAGCTGTGCTGCCTGGAGACTCCATTTCTTTAGCTTGAATATTCAAGGACCTGTGCTGTCTGTTTTGCTTCTGACTGCTCAGTGAGATAATTAGAAATTAACAGTTGGGAAACGTCAATGTGTAAGTGCCTTTCTTTAGTTTTCAAAAGGGTTCTTGGCTTTGCTTTTTTATGGTTTGTGTGTGTGTGTGTGTGTGTGTGTGTGTGTGTGTGTACAGAATCTTGAATTCAGGACCTCCCTACCTAAGATATCCTGCTCACAGTTAGTGCTCTGCTACTACCACTTGAGTCACACTTCTTAACATTTCTGTCCTTTGCTGGTTAACTGGAGATAAGAGTCTTGATTTGACTTCATGAGATATAATAGTCTTTTGGATTTGACTGCCTGGTCTGGCTTCAAACCGCAGTCCTCAGATCTCAGCCTTCTGAATAGCTAGGACTACAGTCATGAGCCACAAGTGCCCCACACAAAATGTGTGTGCATAAGCCCACTGTAACTAGGGCTTGAACTTAGGGCCTGGGCACTGTTCTTTACCTTTTTTGCTCAAGCTTGGTGCCCTACCACTTGAGCCACAGTTCCATTTTCTGGTTAATTGGAGATAAGTGTATTACTCTTTCCTGGCTGGCTTCAAATTGTGATTCTCATATCTGTCTCTTGAATAAGTTGAGTTATAGGTGTGAGCCTGTAATTCAATAATGTAGCACATTATTAATTCTTTTGGTCCGTTGTGGGACTTGAACTCAGACTGGCACTGTACCTGAGCTTTTTTTTGTCGGTTGTGGGGCTTAAACTCTGGGCCTGGATGCTGTCCCTGAGCTCTTCAGCTCAAGGCAAACACTCTACCCCTTGAGCCACAGTGCCACTTCTAGTTGTCTGGTGGTTAATTGGAAATAAGGGTCTCACCGACTTTCCTGCCTGGGCTGGCTTTGAACT